AGTTTCTACAAAATGCAAACACTCCAAAAGCAGGCGAAATCCACGTGCTGGTATTAGGGTCATTAGGTAGTGTCAACTTACGAGTCAAAGAGGTTGACAACAATGCCGATTACAAGGACGAGCTGACGCATTACCAGCAACGAGGGGAGTTGATTCAGCGCAACTGTGAAAATTACTGCCAGCAGATTTTAAGCAAAATTGACGCACTGTATGCCCTCTCTGGCTGGTTTGGGCTGCCGTTCATTTGCGTGGAAGGATCATCTGGCATGGGAAAGTCTCAGCTGGCGTTTGCTTTGGGAGGAAACCGGCCGTGGTTTTACTGGCCTGTTGCCATTGGACCCGATTCTCAGCGCTTGTATAAAAATTTCTCGTCAATTTCAGATGCGTTTCTTGAAGTGACAAACAAGGATGACCCAACAAAACGGTCTGAGGAGGATATTTTGGACCGCACGTCGCTTTTTTACAATACTGAAAGTCTGTGGACCTTTGGCTTCATTCGTGCATTGCTGAAGTATTGCAGTAAAGAGCAAAATCAGCAAGGACACATGATACTCTTTCAAGAGGAAACGTCACTGTATGTGGAAAAGTGCAATCGCGAGACAGTCGTCGCTTTTCGCGAAAATATGAAGGCTGAGGGAAAGGTCTTGCCTTTTTTTGTGTTGGACGAAATGACGCTCAACACACACGTCGATGGAGGAGGGAAGAAACTGGCGGCATTCCAACGCAATCAAATGCTACGTCCAGCAAATCGCAAAGCTTAATACCATTTGCAGAATTTTCCATCGCGTATTTCACCGCGCTGTCGACGAAATACCTGGCAAAACGCCCGCGAGAATTCACGACAATCCTGTTCAGGATGCGATACTGTGCTTGTAGATAGTTCCAAGCACTCTTTTTTCTTTATCTGCATACGGAATTGGTTGATATGGAGGAAACGAGAAAAAATCGTCATCCATGCATGCCTTCCACAATAGCTTCCTAGCGGCGGCTTGCAAATCATTTGGTGATCTTATCGTCTGACCCCATCAAAACCACAACCAGAGCACACACACGAAAAACAACTCTTTTATGGGGAGGCAGGAGGGAAAGGATGCGCAGCTGATGGCGATATCGTACATTAATGCTGGTGCTGGTGATACGTCCCCGCCTCCGTATGAGAAAAGGAAAGTTGCACAGGAAATGGGGGCTCTCTGTATGGATTTACACTTCGCCAACCTAGCGGTTGATCAGGCAACTGAAGTGGATATAATCGGTAGCCTCACGGTTAATAGCATGCCGTGGGAACCGTTGTATTGTTTTCCGGCAATCGAGGAGGACTTGCTGCTTTATCTTGCGATATTGGGTGGCAAGACTTACTCGGGTTACTATGATCGTCAACTGTCTATCGACCACTCAACACTTGGCATCTTCTCAGCTTGCTTGAAAGGAAAGGGGGTCACGACAGGAGTAAACACAAAGGCGTTGAGCAATGATTATAAGACGTTCGATAACATGGTCGCTCATATGATTTTCTGTGCTTCGCGGCGGAATGGAGTGCAAGGCATTACTTTCGATGACTTTTTCGCTGGGTTGCTTAGTGAATGTCAAGATAAAATACGGCCAGTGACAATGACCATTAGCGATGCGGTGAAAACGATTGTTGCTAGCGATTTATTGAACACATACGCTGATTTGGAGGCTTTGTCTAGCTCAAAAATTCCCTTTTTAGCTCCACCGAATGCTGAGTGGCCGCGATGTATTCTAGATACTCGCGCTGAGGGCTGTAACTTCGGTCATCTCGTTCGTGCTAGTCACAGATGTGAAGTTTTTTTATGCAACATGGAGGACCGTTCCAAACCGCCACTTTTTCTGTGTGAGTGCAAGTATTGGGACAAAAGCGTGGACTCTGATGTGATGAGTACGATTATTGGTGGGCTAGAGACCGTGTGGAAGGAGAAGTGGGTAGTCGCATTGGTTTTCTGTGCGAAATTAGCAACCTTTGAAAAGAAGTGGGACCGTGATGAAGTCGGCTGCGTCAAGATCGATTGCCGAAGTGGCCGTGTCGATTGGGTTTTCCAGCCCGCACAAGAAAAACGAAAGAAGCTAGTCATCGTTTTGGAAACGGGGAATTTATCGGTAGGAGTGCCGTAGCAAAGCTTGATTGAGCCAGTTCGTCGCCTCTCGAATCTCTTATTTGTGTCGCAAGCCCAACATAATCTGTTCACCTCTTCTTGCATGTCAACATTTATCACGTCACTTGCTTGTCGATTGTACTCATCGCTTTCCCCGAATGTCCGAAACAGAGATTTTTAACTGTTTAATATTTCTTTTGGATTCGTTGGTTGTATCTCACTCTTACTACATGTTAATAGTTAAATTTTGCCCTTCGATACATACCATGCATGGAAAGCGGCCACATGACGAGTTAAAAGGTATGTAAAAGTAGCAGAAAATTGGACTCGATGCTGATTCATCGTTGCTTTGAATTGTGAATATCTCACTACTCGTGCTTATCTGGTAAGCAGAGTACACGACCTAATACGCGGTGCACCTCAATCTCACCTCCGGTCCTGGGAAAAGCTCACCATCTACGCACATGTGATCGTACGCATTGTTTGCACACGTTCGGAGAGTTGCACTCGACCTTTGTCACGATAAGCCATCATCGATTCCCAATGTCAGCTTACATAATATAATTATATCAATTCCGAGTAATATCGAAATTATTAATCAATTCTCTTTTTACTATTATAAGAATATTTATTATTCTACAGGACTTGGAAGCCCCAAGCGCAAATAGCTCTCACCAGAAACGAGCATAAGTGCATGATCCGATATTTTGGCAGGTGGCGCGGTGTGAGCGTCGCGCCGAATGAGACACATTCCTGTTTCAGAACATGTAGAATGGATCTTTCATCTCTTTCCACTTCTCGTCTTCCTCTCCGCCTTGTTCCTCATTCATACAAGTGCAGAAAAGTTAGCGTAGCATTTGTCTCTGTAAAGCTAAAAGTATTTGATACTTCCGAAAGTGGCTCGTCGTCCTTTGAGACAAGATATTGTAGCCGACCAGGATAACCAGTATGGCCAAAACCGAAAATATTTGCAGTGCGGATGAGATGACAGAGCGAATGTCACCCAAAGAGCGGTGTGCCTTTCGGATTTGATTTTCATATCGACACCGAAGGCCCACACTATTGACAAGAATCAGTACATGGCCTTACAATGACCATTTGTAGCAGAGAACAAGCCTAGATCCTGAACTTTGCTCTTTGCGATAGAGTACGCTGTGTTTAGCGCTTCGAAACGCTCACCTGCACGTGACAATAGCGAGGCAGTTATCTGATCCACCAGGAATAATCTACAAAGCAAGAAACACTAGAACATTCAAAAGCGTCAGGAAGTATAGTGTGCCCTATTTAAAATCAGTAAACGACAACACCCACTCCAAGAGACTGCAGGATTACTTGATGCCTGCATTGAACCTTGCAGTACTAGTCCATGCAGCCATAGATCAATTGTTCAGTACCCACTCAACGCACTCTCCAAATGCACACCAGACGTACGAGCATCAAGTAGCACCGAGGCCAATGTGAAAGTGGAGAGGGTCATTTCATCAACATTCAAAACATGCAACGAAGATTATGAAAGAAATATCATTGAAATGATACGACATGTATTTTGGCATTCGGAGGTGACGGACATCTCCTGCAGGATTGATCAGCACCATAAGCTTCAGTCTATCTCTCTCTTTCGACCTCCGTCCCTTCTCACCTTTCGTGGTGGCACGTATCCGACTTCATCAGTACACCTAATCACCCACTGCACTAGTTCTCACTTATTCTTTACCTGTAAGAATAGTAGGCAACGCAGTAGTGACCATTTCTACAAGGCCATTAATAAGTCCCCCTCTTTCTGAGCCTTCAAGCTTCAAAATACAATCAGAGCTATAATCTCCTTGTTAAGACGCTGCCTTTATGGATGGGAAAAAGCGACGTCGCATGCCGCCTGTGGATTCGAATGTTCCCAGACTCCAAGACCACGGAATCACGTCGAGTTCTGAAGACGTGGAGGAGTGTAGCTCGATGCATTTGGATGTCAACTTCAGAAACTTGTGATCGTCAGTACGTCGTTGACTTGCATTTAAGGGAAGTCACGGACTGCAGATTATATATATCCATGTGTAAGCAATAGTTCAAAAATGGTTAAATAAGTAGCATGTACATGTAAGTAGTATTATTACTATACGTGTTTTCTATGAGCTACTTTCTTAACTCGGAGTCCGATCGAAACTGGCGTACATTTATAAGCCTCTCTTCAGGACAAGGCAGTCAAGTGCGTTCCACACTTTTTCCAGCAGCCTCAGAGTCTACATCGCTGTTCTTTTTCATAATTCAATCATCTCGTTTCTCCGATTCCGTCGGATTTTCCGTTTCGTCAATCAAATTCTGTACTATTCTCGACTTTCGTCGCAATGCCACGGTTCACAGGTTTTCATGTTGTCGAACATGACGGTTCTTTCTTGGCCTTTGTCCGCTGTTTTGAACCCACCATTTAACTTCTTTTTCGTATCCAATCACTTTAAAGGTAGCATCTTTTTCAAACTTTTTAGCTGACACGTATCTGCGTACTTTCGCCTGCAGCTCCGCCTTGTAGCACTTGACAGCAATTTCAAGTGCACCATGACATTGTGCTTGCATGACTCGACCCCAGGCACTAGAGATCACCGTTGTCTTGCCACTATTCAGCTCCTCGACATAAGATCCCGCCAAGTTGACAAATATGGCTTCATATAATGGCTTGCCGAATTGGAGAATATATAGACGATACAGTCGTGAAAGTTTAGATCTGAGCGTTCTTGAGGGACTTTCTTAAAAATCGAATTTGTGTTGTGTGTGTACAACCTGTAGATGAAAAAAGAAGCTAAGGAACCTTCCCTAAGTGTCGTAATAGGAGCTGAGACACGAGCTTCAAACTAGTTTTGAAAGTCTCTGCAAGAGTTGGACAAACCAAAACCCGAGACCATGTTCGGCAAGCCATTATATGAAGCCATATTTGTCAACTTGGCGGGATCTTATGTCGAGGAGCTGAATAGTGGCAAGACAACGGTGATCTCTAGTGCCTGGGGTCGAGTCATGCAAGCACAATGTCATGGTGCACTTGAAATTGCTGTCAAGTGCTACAAGGCGGAGCTGCAGGCGAAAGTACGCAGATACGTGTCAGCTAAAAAGTTTGAAAAAGATGCTACCTTTAAAGTGATTGGATACGAAAAAGAAGTTAAATGGTGGGTTCAAAACAGCGGACAAAGGCCAAGAAAGAACCGTCATGTTCGACAACATGAAAACCTGTGAACCGTGGCATTGCGACGAAAGTCGAGAATAGTACAGAATTTGATTGACGAAACGGAAAATCCGACGGAATCGGAGAAACGAGATGATTGAATTATGAAAAAGAACAGCGATGTAGACTCTGAGGCTGCTGGAAAAAGTGTGGAACGCACTTGACTGCCTTGTCCTGAAGAGAGGCTTATAAATGTACGCCAGTTTCGATCGGACTCCGAGTTAAGAAAGTAGCTCATAGAAAACACGTATAGTAATAATACTACTTACATGTACATGCTACTTATTTAACCATTTTTGAACTATTGCTTACACATGGATATATATAATCTGCAGTCCGTGACTTCCCTTAAATGCAAGTCAACGACGTACTGACGATCACAAGTTTCTGAAGTTGACATCCAAATGCATCGAGCTACACTCCTCCACGTCTTCAGAACTCGACGTGATTCCGTGGTCTTGGAGTCTGGGAACATTCGAATCCACAGGCGGCATGCGACGTCGCTTTTTCCCCATCCATAAAGGCAGCGTCTTAACAAGGAGATTATAGCTCTGATTGTATTTTGAAGCTTGAAGGCTCAGAAAGAGGGGGACTTATTAATGGCCTTGTAGAAATGGTCACTACTGCGTTGCCTACTATTCTTACAGGTAAAGAATAAGTGAGAACTAGTGCAGTGGGTGATTAGGTGTACTGATGAAGTCGGATACGTGCCACCACGAAAGGTGAGAAGGGACGGAGGTCGAAAGAGAGAGATAGACTGAAGCTTATGGTGCTGATCAATCCTGCAGGAGATGTCCGTCACCTCCGAATGCCAAAATACATGTCGTATCATTTCAATGATATTTCTTTCATAATCTTCGTTGCATGTTTTGAATGTTGATGAAATGACCCTCTCCACTTTCACATTGGCCTCGGTGCTACTTGATGCTCGTACGTCTGGTGTGCATTTGGAGAGTGCGTTGAGTGGGTACTGAACAATTGATCTATGGCTGCATGGACTAGTACTGCAAGGTTCAATGCAGGCATCAAGTAATCCTGCAGTCTCTTGGAGTGGGTGTTGTCGTTTACTGATTTTAAATAGGGCACACTATACTTCCTGACGCTTTTGAATGTTCTAGTGTTTCTTGCTTTGTAGATTATTCCTGGTGGATCAGATAACTGCCTCGCTATTGTCACGTGCAGGTGAGCGTTTCGAAGCGCTAAACACAGCGTACTCTATCGCAAAGAGCAAAGTTCAGGATCTAGGCTTGTTCTCTGCTACAAATGGTCATTGTAAGGCCATGTACTGATTCTTGTCAATAGTGTGGGCCTTCGGTGTCGATATGAAAATCAAATCCGAAAGGCACACCGCTCTTTGGGTGACATTCGCTCTGTCATCTCATCCGCACTGCAAATATTTTCGGTTTTGGCCATACTGGTTATCCTGGTCGGCTACAATATCTTGTCTCAAAGGACGACGAGCCACTTTCGGAAGTATCAAATACTTTTAGCTTTACAGAGACAAATGCTACGCTAACTTTTCTGCACTTGTATGAATGAGGAACAAGGCGGAGAGGAAGACGAGAAGTGGAAAGAGATGAAAGATCCATTCTACATGTTCTGAAACAGGAATGTGTCTCATTCGGCGCGACGCTCACACCGCGCCACCTGCCAAAATATCGGATCATGCACTTATGCTCGTTTCTGGTGAGAGCTATTTGCGCTTGGGGCTTCCAAGTCCTGTAGAATAATAAATATTCTTATAATAGTAAAAAGAGAATTGATTAATAATTTCGATATTACTCGGAATTGATATAATTATATTATGTAAGCTGACATTGGGAATCGATGATGGCTTATCGTGAAAAAGGTCGAGTGCAACTCTCCGAACGTGTGCAAACAATGCGTACGATCACATGTGCGTAGATGGTGAGCTTTTCCCAGGACCGGAGGTGAGATTGAGGTGCACCGCGTATTAGGTCGTGTACTCTGCTTACCAGATAAGCACGAGTAGTGAGATATTCACAATTCAAAGCAACGATGAATCAGCATCGAGTCCAATTTTCTGCTACTTTTACATACCTTTTAACTCGTCATGTGGCCGCTTTCCATGCATGGTATGTATCGAAGGGCAAAATTTAACTATTAACATGTAGTAAGAGTGAGATACAACCAACGAATCCAAAAGAAATATTAAACAGTTAAAAATCTCTGTTTCGGACATTCGGGGAAAGCGATGAGTACAATCGACAAGCAAGTGACGTGATAAATGTTGACATGCAAGAAGAGGTGAACAGATTATGTTGGGCTTGCGACACAAATAAGAGATTCGAGAGGCGACGAACTGGCTCAATCAAGCTTTGCTACGGCACTCCTACCGATAAATTCCCCGTTTCCAAAACGATGACTAGCTTCTTTCGTTTTTCTTGTGCGGGCTGGAAAACCCAATCGACACGGCCACTTCGGCAATCGATCTTGACGCAGCCGACTTCATCACGGTCCCACTTCTTTTCAAAGGTTGCTAATTTCGCACAGAAAACCAATGCGACTACCCACTTCTCCTTCCACACGGTCTCTAGCCCACCAATAATCGTACTCATCACATCAGAGTCCACGCTTTTGTCCCAATACTTGCACTCACACAGAAAAAGTGGCGGTTTGGAACGGTCCTCCATGTTGCATAAAAAAACTTCACATCTGTGACTAGCACGAACGAGATGACCGAAGTTACAGCCCTCAGCGCGAGTATCTAGAATACATCGCGGCCACTCAGCATTCGGTGGAGCTAAAAAGGGAATTTTTGAGCTAGACAAAGCCTCCAAATCAGCGTATGTGTTCAATAAATCGCTAGCAACAATCGTTTTCACCGCATCGCTAATGGTCATTGTCACTGGCCGTATTTTATCTTGACATTCACTAAGCAACCCAGCGAAAAAGTCATCGAAAGTAATGCCTTGCACTCCATTCCGCCGCGAAGCACAGAAAATCATATGAGCGACCATGTTATCGAACGTCTTATAATCATTGCTCAACGCCTTTGTGTTTACTCCTGTCGTGACCCCCTTTCCTTTCAAGCAAGCTGAGAAGATGCCAAGTGTTGAGTGGTCGATAGACAGTTGACGATCATAGTAACCCGAGTAAGTCTTGCCACCCAATATCGCAAGATAAAGCAGCAAGTCCTCCTCGATTGCCGGAAAACAATACAACGGTTCCCACGGCATGCTATTAACCGTGAGGCTACCGATTATATCCACTTCAGTTGCCTGATCAACCGCTAGGTTGGCGAAGTGTAAATCCATACAGAGAGCCCCCATTTCCTGTGCAACTTTCCTTTTCTCATACGGAGGCGGGGACGTATCACCAGCACCAGCATTAATGTACGATATCGCCATCAGCTGCGCATCCTTTCCCTCCTGCCTCCCCATAAAAGAGTTGTTGCTTTGTGTCTTAGAGCTTACGCGATCAAATGCTACGTCCAGCAAATCGCAAAGCTTAATACCATTTGCAGAATTTTCCATCGCGTATTTCACCGCGCTGTCGACGAAATACCTGGCAAAACGCCCGCGAGAATTCACGACAATCCTGTTCATGATGCGATACTGTGCTTGTAGATAGTTCCAAGCACTCTTTTTTTCTTTATCTGCATACGGAATTGGTTGATATGGAGGAAAACGAGAAAAAATCGTCATCCATGCATGCCTTCCACAATAGCTTCCTAGCGGCGGCTTGCAAATCATTTGGTGATCTTATCGTCTGACCCCATCAAAACCACAACCAGAGCACACACACGAAAAACGTTGCGTTGGAATGCCGCCAGTTTCTTCCCTCCTCCATCGACGTGTGTGTTGAGCGTCATTTCGTCCAACACAAAAAAAGGCAAGACCTTTCCCTCAGCCTTCATATTTTCGCGAAAAGCGACGACTGTCTCGCGATTGCACTTTTCCACATACAGTGACGTTTCCTCTTGAAAGAGTATCATGTGTCCTTGCTGATTTTGCTCTTTACTGCAATACTTCAGCAATGCACGAATGAAGCCAAAGGTCCACAGACTTTCAGTATTGTAAAAAAGCGACGTGCGGTCCAAAATATCCTCCTCAGACCGTTTTGTTGGGTCATCCTTGTTTGTCACTTCAAGAAACGCATCTGAAATTGACGAGAAATTTTTATACAAGCGCTGAGAATCGGGTCCAATGGCAACAGGCCAGTAAAACCACGGCCGGTTTCCTCCCAAAGCAAACGCCAGCTGAGACTTTCCCATGCCAGATGATCCTTCCACGCAAATGAACGGCAGCCCAAACCAGCCAGAGAGGGCATACAGTGCGTCAATTTTGCTTAAAATCTGCTGGCAGTAATTTTCACAGTTGCGCTGAATCAACTCCCCTCGTTGCTGGTAATGCGTCAGCTCGTCCTTGTAATCGGCATTGTTGTCAACCTCTTTGACTCGTAAGTTGACACTACCTAATGACCCTAATACCAGCACGTGGATTTCGCCTGCTTTTGGAGTGTTTGCATTTTGTAGAAACTGAGCAATAGTATCTTTCCCCTGCAGCTCTAAGTTCTTTTCCATTAGCTTTTCGAGAAGAGGAGTCATCATGCCCTGCTTGAGTTTCTTGACGTCTTTCGTGCTGGAAGAAAGCCAGACGCCATCCCTCTTCGTCAGGAAAAGACGCAGCTGGTCCGCAGGAAACTGGTACATCTTTTGTTTCTTAATTGCCTCTTTTAAGAGAGACACCGTCTTCCACTTTTCAACAATGACAGTGAACGCGCTTCCACGTACGCCTACGATCGCGCAGTTTAACATAGGCATTTCGTTTTCAGCCGGCAGATACTAAAATGAGAGAGAAGGATGTCAAGAATTATATATTCGTAATGTAATAGATTGTGTGTGACACTATACTAGGGCCAAGATATGAGACATCCTCCCATGCTGATTGGCTGAGTATTAAAATTCGATATAACGGGAACGATAACAAAGTAGCGCTTTATGTCGGCACCACTAAAAGAAGGTCACATCCTTTCTTCTTGTGTTTCT